AATGGATGGATGCACGCACAAGTTGCAGAGCTGCTTCTTGAATAATTTTCAAGTGTTTCCAATCTCCAAGAAAATATAAAAAATGTTAATGAGCAAACAGAAGTTAACATATCATGTAGTAATCCTTGGTTTACAACCGCAGGCTGCAGAAATCCTTCAGAGACAAATAAGCCCTTCTTTCACAATGACCCAGCACATATTATAGCTCCAATTTACCAAACAAAATCATTATTAATCTGCTTTCGCTTACCAGTTGGCTCTAAATAAGGTTCCAGTCATTTTCCCATGGCTTTGTTGTTAGAGCAGCAGTCAGGTGCTCTGAATTCATAAAAAGTAAAAATTGAAAATAAAAACAAAGTACATCAAGATTAGTCTGCATGTGAACGTTAAACCTAGCTTAATAATGAAGTTTAGGATGTTTTAGATCATGACAAGAACAACTTGCCACATAAAAGCAAAGCCAAGAACTTGGCACACCAAAAGCTCTACAAGAACTCATAAATACTTACAGAAGGTGCCTCGACAGTGGTGGGTGTGTCAGAAAGTTCAATGTTCCCTAAAAGGAGGCACACAAATGTTATCAATAAATAACAAGCAACAGGTGGGTAGTTAGTAATGCTGTGTTCAAGAAAGATCTTTTTCATTATAGCAAATAGCTGTTCTGCTAATTCGCTGTTCTCTGTGTTAAGTTCTGGTACTAGGCCAAGTTTCATCCAGGCATCCTTGGTGTTGTTCTTGTAAAACTGATCATAGAGCATAATGCTCAGCTGAACCTGCTGTTAGATGAGCATTGTAGTCTGGGACCAGCTTCTTTAAGTTAGGCCAAGGCAGTGAAACTTTTAGGTGCCCAGCTTTGGCCAGGGCTATAACATCCTTTCAAAGGGTTTGAAAGTCAACTTCTCTGTATCTCTAAGACTCGTGTGTGTTGCTAGTCAACCTGCAGTCATAAATGACTAGATCGGGCTTGTGTTTCCAGGAAAGTATGAGGGTGGTGCGAACCCGTGGTCTTTCCACTCAAAACTGTATACAATGCCACCTGGACACATGATCAAAGCACAACCACTTTAGACGTGGACAAAAAATGAATAAATAAACAAATGAATGGGAATGCAACAGGAGAAGCTCTTTGGGTGCGATTTTGCAATTCAGTATCAGATAATAATAAAATACAGTCACCTGAAATGCAGCTTATTTGAAGCAGCTCAGATCTTTTGAAACATCTTGTCCTATTTGACAGGCAGAGAAAGTCACTACGAGATCCTGAGAAATCCAAACTGCACTCTACACAATGTCTGACCGACTTGAAGCCTTCAAGGAAGAAATAAAAAAGTCCTGTTAGTCATCACACACACTGGTGAAATTGTGTAGCAGTCTCCACATTTGACCCATCTCTGTGGTGAGCAGTGAGCTGCAGCAATGGCCGCACTCGGGGAATATTTAGTGGTTTAACCCCCCAATCCAACCTCTTAATGCTGATTGTCAATAGGGAAGCACTGGGTCCCATTTTTTGAGTCTTTGGTATGACCCAACTGTAGATTTGAGCCCACAACCTCCCAGTCTCAGGCCAGGCAATCATGACACTAGGCCACACCTTCAGTGTGTGAATGGGTTAATTATTCACTGTAAAGCGCTTTAGAGTCCTCAGACTCAGAAAGTGCAGGATCAGAATCAGGGTTTTATTGCCACATGTGCGAGAAGTCACAACATTAGGAAATTGCTGCGGTACTTTATGCAAAAAGAAAGAGAAAAATAAGAGATAAGAAAATATAGGAAGTAAGAATATAATCATGATAAAATGATAATATAAAGTGGTAATACTTAAAGAAACGGCTGCTATATACACAGTTCAGGAAGAAACACAACACCAGGTCATGTGACTGAAACCAAGCGACTGGAGTGGGCAGCCCTAAGATTGTCGTTCATGAGTCCAACAGCAGAGGGGAAGAAACTGTTCTTGTGGTGAGAGGTTCTGGTCTGAATGGATCTGAGCCTCCTGCCAGATGGGAGCGAGTTGAATGATGAGAAGGGTCAGCTGTTTTCCATCGTACACGCCTCAACGTCCTGGAGGTGTACAGGTCCTGTACGGAGGGGAGTTTGCAGCCAATGACCTTAGCAGAGCGCACGACACGCTGCAGCTTCTTCTTGTGTCTGATGGTGGCTCCAGCGTACCACACGTTGACTGAAGAGGTGCGGATGGACTCGATGACTGCGGTGTAGAACTGCCTCATGGACTGCACTGATAGGTTGAATTTCTTCAGCTGATTTATTTATCACTTAAGCAACAGACAAAGTCTTTAATGGCTTTAAATGCTTACATGTGTGAAATCAAACTGACAATTTCACATGTTGTTGTGCAACTGGAATAGGCAGCAGGTGGAAACTACAGACAATTATGGCGGGGGTTGGGCTTACAGCCCAACACCGTGCAGAAAGTTTGGCATTTGCTAGAACACCGAGATTGGCAAATTGGCTGCTAGATGAAAGCAGGTTCACATTTAGCGCATGTGACAGGTGTGACAGAGTGTGACAGAGTCTGGAGAACGTGGAGAACGTTCTGCTGCCTACAACATCCTCCAGCATGACTGGTTTGGCGTTGGGTCATTAATGGTCTGGGATGGCATGTCTTTGGGAGGTTGCATAGCCATTAGGTACCAGGATGAGCTCCTCAGACGCCTTGTGAGACCATATGCTGGTACGGTTGGCCCTGGGTTCGTTCTAACGCAAGACAAAGCTGGACCTCATGTGGCTGGAGTGTGTCAGCAGTTCCTGCAAGACAAAGGCGTTTGTGCTATGGACATCTGGCATATCATGTCTCGCTCCACTCACCAATGCCACGTTGCACCACAAACTGCCGAGGAGTTGGTGGATGCTTTAGTTCAGGTCTGGGAGGAGATCCCTCAGTAGACCATCCACCATCTAATCAGAAGCATGCCCAGGCGTTGTAGAGAGGTCCTACAGGCACGTGGAGGCCACACTCACTACTGAGCGTCGTTTTGACTTGTTCTAAGAACATTACATCAAAGATGGATCAGCCTATTTTGTGTTTTTCCACTCTAATTTTGAATGTGACTCAAAATTCACACCTCCATGATAAATTTGATTTCTATTGATAATTTTTGTGTGATTTTGTTGTGAGCACATTCAGCTAAAGAACATAAATTCTATGTGTTTATATTTATGTATGGTTGTGTTCAAAACAACAGAACACATGGAAGTTTTTTTCATGTAAATGTAAAGAGATGCATAATAATACACATTTCTTTGAAAGCTTCAAGTCAGCCAGACATGGTGTAGAGTTTGAATTTCTCAGGATCGCGTACTGACCTTCTCCACCTGTCAAATGAAATGAAATCAAGGGAGTCATATGACAAGGTGTTTAAAAAGATTTGAGCTGCTTCAGGTAAGCAGGATTTCAGGCGATTGTATTGTGTTATTATCTGATATTGAATTGCAAAGTGGAACTAGAAGAGTGTCTCCTGTTACAATCCCATTCATTTGTTGTCGTTTTTTTCCACATCTAAACTGGCTGTGCTGTGATCATGTGTCCAGGTGGTATTGTATACAGTTTTGAGTTCAAATCCCACGGGACGGTACCACCCTTATATTTTCCTGGAAGTGCAAGCCCAGTCTAGTCATTTATGACTTTGCATGTTGTATTGCAACACACACAAGTCTTAGAGATCCTGAGTTAAAGACATTCGAAGGAACAAACTACAGAAAGTATAACCCTGGTCAAAGCTGGGCACCTAAAAGTTTCACTGACTTGGGCTAACTTAGATGCTGGTCCCAGACTCAGCTGAGCATTATGCTTCACAAGGACAACACCAACAATGTCTCAGATGTTCTGATCCTTTTATGGAAAATCTAACTTTCTGACACCCACCACTGTTGAACCTGTTGCAATGGACATTGGTGCACCGTTTGAGTTCTTCTAGAGCTTTTGGTGTGTCAAGTTCTTGGCTTTGTTTTTTTATGTAACAAGTTGTTTCTGTCATGATCAAAAAGGTCTTTAACTTGATTGTTAAGCTAAGTTTAACATTCACATGCAGACTAATCTCAATTTTTATTTTTACAATGAAATCAGTTCCCCTGACTGCCAGGGGTGTCTCCAGAAAATTTTGATAGGTATGGCCAGATGGGGCCAATGAAATTTTTGGGGTGGCACACCAAATTGGTCCTTGTGGTAACTTTGGGTATTGCATTGCTCGTTTATTCGTTTTTATTAGAAAAACAGTTCGTATCCAAAACATTTTACTTAAATTTTACAAACACAAACATTTCAGAAAAATACATTTCAGTTTTTTAATGTTTTTTCAAATTTTATTTTAAAATGTATTTTTTTTGTTTAATTCACTTGTTGCTGTGTTCACAAAAAAATATGGAGATAATAGCTTTTTTTTTAAATGGTGAGCAGCAGAAACATATGTATTTATTTTTATTCTGATTATTTCTTTACTCATTAATTGTATAATTTTTATTTTATTTTACAATTATGTCTTGAATATATATATGGGGGGGGGGGGGGGGCAGCAATTTTCTTACTGGCACCACTGCTGACTGCTGCTCACAGTCTGACCCATAAAACAAGCCCTTGGCAACAAGCAGCTGAGCAATGGATTTGAACAAATTCCTAAATTACAGTGAGTTTAGTTTTCATTCATGTTCTGTTTGATGGTTTTCTTTTTGGGCTATAGAGAAGGCACATTTATATAGACGACATGAATGTAGTGCGTAGGAAGCACACACAATGCAACTCTACTGTCAACTTTCCAGTGGGTGTAAAAACACACACACACACACGCACGCACACACGCGCGCGCACGCACACACACACACGCACACACACAGTGAAAGAAACCAGTTCTGCTGCTGCTCTTTTGTTCCGAGACATGGTGCACATTCCCATACACCTGTTGTCCCCACCTCTCCAACAGGTGTATATATGATGCTGCAGGTGGATGTGAGCTGGAGACTGTCTGAGTTAAGTCAGAAGCATCATCATGGCCTCCACAGTGTGGCTCCTGCTCCAGCTTCTCCTCCTGACCTCACTGGTGACGGCGTCTCAGTACTACGGAGGAAGCATGACCTTCACCTACAAGGGAACAAACCCTGATGGATCCATCAAGGTGAGATTCATAACTTTTAGTCACATCATTAAGTTTGAAAATGAAGACTCGGTTTTCTGTTGCTGTTTATGAAATACGTTTTCATCTTTGTGTCTCTGAAGTCTGAATTATGTTGTAACAAGTTGTGAGAGTTAAGTATGTTGGATGTTGTCTAGACTGAACGATGTGCCATATGGGTCAGAACTGCGTATCCACCCCTCACCTACAAAGAATCACTGCTTGATGTCTGTTTGTAGTAAAACATATGTTAGAGGTAGTAAAAACTTTAGTAAAGGGTAGTAAATTCTACTCTAGTATTCCTGTATACACCCCAAAAACGTGGGAAAAAAATGTTATAATTAATTCCTTTTGTTCCTACAGGTGGACGTCCGAGCCAGGGACACTGATGATGGTTGTTATTACTACCACTACTGGAACTGTTACTCTGGCAACTGTGGCTCCATAATCAGTAGATCAATACATCAAATTGACAGCAGCACCAATGCATCACCATCCAACCGCCAGTGGTGTGAAACAGAGAATGTTGAGAAGTGGACATTTCCCAGCAATAAACCATTTGAGCTGAGGTGAGCAGGTGTCATTTATCTGGTAAATAAAATCGTCGAGCATTAAAGTGTTTTGGTGTCAAAGTGAATACAAAAGTTTTTTTGTTCTTCTTAAATATCAGGGCAGCTAAATGTAACTGGGCTCCAACACGTAACAGTGTTAGTAACTGGAGGCTTAGCACTCTTGTGGATTTGGGAAGAAGATCAGACACAGAACAACCCAACAGGTCACCAGATGTCGCTGTTCTTCCTTTCATAAGGTAACCAACCTGTTTGCATGGAACTGTTCGAACTTTAGTGTAAAACTTGTCTTCAGAGGAAACTTGATTTATTCCGAATTTTTTCAAGTGGATTAAGCCTCGTTTACATTTTGGTTATAAAATTCTGTTCAAGTGTTTATAATATTTGGTGTAAATCTGACTAGCATAGTTGGCCTCTTACCTAGTTAACTGGGGCGACGGTGGCAAAGGAGTCAAGTGCTCACCCCATTACTGGAGGGCTGCAGGTTCGAGCCCTGCTTAGTCTGTCACAGTTGTGTACTTGGAAAAGACACTTCATCCTCCTTGCCTGTTGGTGGCTACAATGTAGCTCATCGCCACCAGTGTGTGTGTGTGTGTGTGTGTGTGTGTGTGTGTGTGTGTGTGTGTGTGTGTGTGTGGGCGACTGACTAGTTGTGTTGTAAAGCTCCTTGGGGGGAAGGGTTGTAGAACCCTAGATGGTGCTATATCAAATTCAGGCTCTTTACCATAATTAACTGATTCTAGTTTTACTGCGTGTAATCTATGATTTTATCACGTACTGCACTTTGGGCGGCCTTGACAGGTGGCAGTAAGGTGCTTTATAAATACATAAAAAAATGAAACTTCCTCATTTCATTTATTAAGTTTTTGTATAGAAAATGAATGTTTCCTCTCTTGGTAATCAAGAGTTCCTCAGAATTGCCCAAGGACATACAAGCTGCCATCCTTTGATCCTGATGGTGACAGAGTCCGATGCCGGTACGGGAATATTCCAGACAATTCCCAGTCCATGTCTGGCTTTATACTTGATCAGGTTAGTTGAATTTTGATAGGATTTGTTTACACTAATGTTACATACATAAATATTCTGATGTTTTCCCTCATTCTATTTTTTTATGTCTGTTGATTACTTCATCAGGATACTTGCACATTGCGCTACCAAAACACCCCTGCCAACAAAAAAGTTTTTGGGTTTGAGATAGTGGTAGAAGATTTCTCACTGTACCCTGTCAACCTGTCTTACTCAGATGGTTCAATAATCCACAAGTATCCATTGCTTGAAAGGAGAAAGAGACAAATAACCATAACCAATCCAACAGCTACAACAACTGCATCAACAACTATGCCAACAACTAAACAAACCACAGTGTCAACAACTACACCAACCACCACACGAACCAATACGCCAATAAGTACACAAACAACTACACCAACCACCACACGAACCACTACGCCAACAAGTACACAAACAACTACATCAACATCCACACCAACAACTACACCAAACACCACACGAACCAATGCACCAACAAGTACACAAACAACTACATCAACATCCACACCAACAACTACACCAACTACCACACGAACCACTACGCCAACAAGTGCACAAACAGCTACATCAACCCCATCAACAACTACATCAACAGTTACACCAACAACTACACGAACCAATACGCCAACAAGTACACAAACAACTACATCAACATCCACACCAACAACTACACCAATTACCACACGAACCACTACGCCAACAAGTACACAAACAGCTACATCAACATCCACACCAACAACTACATCAACCACCACACGAACCAATATACCAACAGCTACATCAACCCCATCATCAACTACATCAACAGTTACACCAACAACTACACGAACCACTACGCCAACAAGTACACAAACAACTACATCAACATCCACACCAACAACTACACAAACCACCACAAGAACCAATACGCCAACAAGTACACAAACAACTACATCAACATCCACACCAACAACTACACCAACTACCACACGAACCACTACGCCAACAAGTACACAAACAACTACATCAACATCCACACCAATAACTACACCAACTACCACACGAACCACTACGCCAACAAGTACACAAACAACTACATCAACATCCACACCAATAACTACACCAACCACCACACGAACCAATACACCAACAGCTACATCAACCACATCAACAACTACATCAACAGTTACACCAACAACTACACGAACCACTACGCCAACAAGTACACAAACAACTACATCAACATCCACACCAACAACTACACCAACCACCACACGAACCAATACGCCAACAAGTTCACAAACAACTACATCAACTTCTACACCAACAACCACACCAACTACCACACGAACCACAACGCCAACAAGTACACAAACAACTACATCAACATCCACGCCAATAACTACACCAACCACCACACGAACCAATACACCAACAGCTACATCAACCCCATCAACAACTACATCAACAGCTACATCAACCCCATCAACAACTACATCAACAGTTATACCAACAACTACACGAACCACTACGCCAACAAGTACACAAATAACTACATCAACATCCACACCAACAACTACACCAACCACTACACGAACCACTACCCCAACAAGTACACAAACAACTACATCAACAACTTCACCAACAACTACACCAACCACTACACGAACCACTACCCCAACAAGTACACAAACAACTACATCAACCCCATCAACAACTTCACCAACAACTACACCAACCACTACACGAACCACTACACCAACAGCTACATCAACCCCATCAACAACTACATCAACAACTACATCAAATGCTACACCAACAACTACACGAGCCACTACCCCAACAAGTACGCAAACAACTACGTCAACCCCATCAACAACTTCAACAACAACTACACGAATAACTACATCAACAACTATGTCAAGAACTATACCAACAACTACAACCCAGAAGTATCCATTGGCTGGTAGAAGAAAGAGACAAGTAGCCACAATCCCTCCAACCACATCACACACAATTGAAGGTGAGTCTGTACACGCAGCATCATTGTGGCCAGGGAAATTGACCAATACATATAAACCAACAACTACAGATACCACAGCAGCAAAATGGCCAGATGCCCAAACAGTTAAACCAACTACTGCAACTACGACTGTTCCACCTAATCCATCATATGGAAGAACTGATCCTCTCAGTAGACTACCTCTGCGGTTTTCATTTTTGGGTAAGTTTAATTTGTTTTGATAAGTTTTTGATCAAATTCTATAATAAGACAGCGATAAAAACACAAACCATTATAGTCATACTTCATCACATTGATGAGACAGAAGATTGAAAATATGTGTTTTATTTATTTTTATTTTTTTTTGCATTTTTATGTAGGCTGAAGATGGTGCTGGTGTGTGTGGCATGCTGTATATCATTCTTTAAACTATTAATGGTGTCATTACATGGTCGTTAAAGCTGCTATAGCAAATCTAGAGAACTAGCTAGGTTTTGAAGGCACACACAGTCATAGACCACTCACTCCTCCCCTCGGGTATAGGAAGCCTAAGTCATGCCCATCTACTTCTGGACCATGGGTCCCCAGAAGAACGACAAAATGAATGCAAGTCAGTGGGGCTGAAAATACAGTTTTTTGATTCTGCTTGTTTCGTGCCATGGGTTTCACGTATGATGTCCGTGAATTTTAAAGACACACTTTGATACCATGAAAGCTCTTATACTCGAACAGGGGGAAACGCTGTTTTAGGTTTTGTGTGAAAATAAGTCCAGGACTACAAATGCGCTTCACGACAGTGACGTCATCAAACCAGACAAGGGGGAACAACAGAGGGAAAATGGCTGTAAGTCTAGCGAACTTGAAATCCTTCCTTCAGAAGGAAAGGACCACCGTGAATCTGGCCATTTGGTAAGTAGCAGCTATGCTAGGGGAGAGGAGATTCCTTGGTGACGTCATATATGCGACGTGCTGATGTCTGATTTGTAGTCATGCTAATTACAAACTTTTACAAGCTAATAAATCTCAAAGTACATGACTTGCATGGTCGAAACACCCGTCATTACTTTTCATTTAAATTGCAGTACAACATATATGCGATCCAGGGTCTAAGACAACGTGGATTGGAAAATTGCTCTTTTAGCCCCGTTGACTTGCATTCATTTTTTCGTTCTTCCGGGGACCCATGAGCCGACTGGCAGGGCAGGAGACTCCCAATCTTCCCTGAGACACTTTCGCTGGAACTGGAAACCCGCCTTGTCAGAGGAAACAAGAGAGCGCTAAACACCAGTTGCAGGTTTCTATGAACAAATGTCTTTTGTTGTCCGTGACATCAAATGTTTTTTTTTTCTTTTTGGGACTCTGATAGTTTGTCCTAAAGTTGAAGTGTTAGCAGCTGGCTGTTTCTCCGTCTCTGATATTAATGAGCAGAGAACCTTACACCAGAGGTGTTCAGTTGTTAAAGAGCAAGTCACCCCCAAATCAACTTATTTTTGCTGATAAATTCTATAAATGAGTGTCTAATTGCTCTGTAGACACGTGCAGTCAATAATTTGGCACTTTAGTTAATCTTAGTTAAAATTTAAATAATCTGCCTAAAACTGGCAGTGTTGTGCCGTTGTCAGGTAAAAACTCTGCACTGTATTTTAATTTAAATCTGCCACCGCTATTGGCCAAGAGGTATGCTATGATGTAAACTGGTACATTGTGTCACAATGCTGTCGTGAGCCTGTGTGTGTATTTGTTAGCAGCTCCGCCTTCTCGGCCTGCCAGGCAACAGCATTTGTTGCATTTTTCAAACATGAGGTGGGAGTGGAGTTAGACTGTGGTAGGGGTTGACTTGCTCTTTAAATAAGTGAGTGCGTAATGAATGGAGGACCCAGGGTAATGCAGAAGTGTGGCGGTTTGGCGAGACCAACAATCGGATGGTCAATGGTTGTTTAGAGCCGTAGTATTGGCAGAGGTTGTTAGACAAATGCGAGATAACATTTTTTAACTCATTCATTGCCACTGACGACTAAAGTCGTCATTTTAAATCCAGCCGTTCACTGCCAATGCATTTTTTTACTGTGTGGGCGTTGGAATGAACCCCCGCACCGTGAGAACAAACATCTCAGCTCTAAAGCCGATCTTCATCCACATACGTCACACGTGACCTGATCAGGAAGCAGAAAATCCATGTGTTAGGAGATCGTTTTTGACCGCTGCTGTAAAAAAAGTGAGGCGCGAACCGGAAACTGAAGCTGTGTACTGAAACTCTAATTTCCCTCTGGGATTAATAAAGTATTGATTGATTGATTGATTGATTGATTGATTGATTGATTGATTGATTGATTGATTGATTGATTGATTGATTGATTGATAAGCTTCTGCCGATCACAATTCAACAACGGATTATGAAAGAACGGATAAAGCTCGAAACGCACGGATTCTTCCTGATGTAAGAGGTGTGTCTCCGCTTTGTTTTGGTTGTTTTGGCGTCGACATCATCCTAGCGCGCAACGTTCTGTGAGTCTTAAATAAACAGTGAAAATGGTGAGAAACGCTGGCAGCGAATGCCTTTACCAATCAGGAAACAGCTGGCAATGAATGAGTTAATAATTACATTTCTTTTTTTATTCAGCAATATATTTTTAGCTATACTATGTTACCAAACATAGGACATGTTAGAACAGAGACATGAAAAATATTTTAAGCTCATTTGTTTTCCAAATTTGTTATAGCAGCTTTAAGAGGCGGAGATAGTCGCATTTTGAGTCAAACAGTTTGGATACCTTTAAACCTTTTCCACTCATTTCTCAAAACCTTAAACACATTCTTATTCACTAAACTCATCTCACACATGTACAGCAGAACTGTAATCACCAGCAGTAAAAGATAATACAGCCTCATATATTACAGCAATTCCAAATGTAAAACATCTGTTTCTAAAGATGTTATCAGACCAAGTGTGCAGGATAAAAGTCAGTTGGGAGCGCTTAGGTGGCTCATCCGATGACATCTTTAGAAACGCGCAAAATTTAGATGCCTGGTTGAACTAGGGATGCCGCGATGCCAATTCCAGAATCTGGTATCAATTCAATACTGTATTTGTGTATTCAATGACATACTTTGGTACCAATACCTTTTTACAAAATGTGATGCTCAGTCCTCAATTGATGGTGAAACTGACAGAAATTTGACTTTTTTTTTTGTTTATGGTTAACGTTTGAACATTTTGGAGGTTTGTTTCATGTTTATCTCCAGTGGATCCACCCGTTCCATCGTGCCAGGAGGGACTCTACTTGCCTAAATTTGTGTCTCCAACTCCTGCGGATGGACAACACTTCAGGGCAGAGGTCAACCAGGAGGTGGAAATCAGTGTCAATGCCAGTTCGGCATTTTCATCGTAAGTTAGATGGACAGAGCGTACAGACGCTTGGGGGATTGGAGACATCAGTTAAAACATCTCTGCTTTGTTCTCCACATAGAATCCAAAACATCATCATGAGTGGGCCGACAAACATCACCAAGCACAGAATCACTTTTGATGAATTTGTCATCAAGTGGACGCCGGTCCAAGATGACCTGGGAGATCATTACCCCATCTGCTTCGCTGTGGAGGCGACATTAGGGTTAGGAGCACTTCCACACAGATTCCTGGATTTATTTGATCCCTTTTTCTCATCTATAATAGTTCATTTTACAAAACTGAGCTTTAATTTAGTAACAATTTAAGACCATGCCACCATAAAAGATCAAATTCAACCATTGGTGCTCCCAAGCCAGTTATTCTTTGTGTTAGTCCCAAATCTGGATAAGGGTAGAGGAAAGGCATCCATCATAAAACCTTAGCCAAATCAAATCTGAGAATCTCAAACTGGGATTTCAGTTGAGGCCTGGGTTAACATCAACTGTCACTGATGCTGTTGACAGGGTGCCAGAAGAAATTGGCCAACCGTTGGCCGATGGAGGAGAGTACAAAGGTGTGTTCGTAGGCAGATAGAAAAGAGAAAGGGCAGGAGTGTGGAACTGAAAGTAGGGACTCTGAATGTTAGAACTATCACAGGGAACACCACAGAGCTGGTGGACATGATGCATTTTTTTTTCAGGAGACTAGGAGGAGAGGTAGCAAGGTTAGAAGCTTAGAAGGGAGTGAGGGTGGAGGATGCAGAAGACGGGACTAAATGGAGACAGAGGGTTTGTTGTGTCAACCCTGAAAAGAAAAGCTTCAAAAGAAAGAAGAATTTAATAATAATTTTAAACGAAATACAGAATGACAGCTTCATTTACCATTACTTTTAAGAATTTGTTTAAAAAGAAACCAGTTTGACTAGTGTGTCTGAATGAGTTTGTTCTGATGCTTTTTCAGGTCATACATCTATCAGTCTGAGATGAGGTGTGTTATAGTGGACATCTGGGACGATCAAAGTGAGTTTGGTTAATTGGTTTTATGGTTTTCTGGTTTTAGGAGAACAACTCAGACACTCAGTATTGGCCCAGAAATCCAATTCACATCCAATTTTAAACCATTTAAAGCCTGAAATATGAAATAACATAAAACTAGTTTTAATAACTGAAAATAGTGTTTGATAATCAGTGTTATTTTACTATGCAATTCCGTAACAATATAATAGTAATTAAGAAAATGGCCCTTTCCACCTGTAGATCATCAGTCCTCCTGAAGGTCTTTGTTTGGGACTGATTCCAACCTTTCAGCCAAAATGAGTTTGTGAGTCAAAGAAACAATAAGAATAAGAGAAATAACTAAAATAAATGAAAAAAATAAATACATTTTGCAGCGTAATAACTGGTCAAATTCAGTGAAAATGACTGAACCTGCTTTTGGACACTGGCGGTTAAGGATTCTGTCAAGCTGTAAAAATAGTTCTATCAGGTCTCTTTAGCCGGTGGGACTCCAGAGGCAGCTGATGGGTACCAGCAGTCCAAGCAGAATGTGGCTCATGTGGTCACAGAGGCAAAAGCCTGGGCATGGGAAGAGTTCTGTGAAATCATGGAGCAAGATTTCCCTACGGCTTTGAGGAGATTCTGGTCCACCATCCGGCGCCTCAGCAGTGCGCTACCAACACTGTTTATAGAGGAGACGGTGCTGACGCTGCTGACCGCGACTTGGGATGTTGAGGATCAGTGGGCAGAGAGCTTGAAATACCTCCTCAATCCCACTGGCAGATCTTTCAGTGAGGAAGCAGAGTCCGGGGACTTTGGGTTGGGCTCTCCAGTCTCTG